CGCGAGCTCATTGTTTGCATATCTGCGTAATTTTTAATTGAGTTTTGCTTTTGAAAGTATCAATTCTACCGATTCAATTGCACTCATCATTAAATCCAAGCGACGGACGATTGTTTGTTTGGGTGGATGCCGAGTTTAATGGTTTATGTACCAAATCCATTGGACACACGAGCTGCATGTGCCGATTCCAGTGGATCGCGTACCAAATACGTGGACGCAAATGCAAATCCATTGGATGCATGAGCCAATCAATTGAAAATTTGTCTGTTTCAATAGAAAAAAGGTGTAGTACTTAGTATTACGTACCAGTAGTAATTAGTACGTCGTGGTATTTGAAAGACCAAATTTACTTGTGGTTGCGTTAATTATAGAGCAGGGTTGGTGAAATATTATTCGATAAACTTAATTTCGGCGTGAAATACACTGTTATAAGAAAGGTTGGAAGAAATGATACTAGTATACTGCTTGACAGAAACCTCTGTAATTGCATCATTTATATACTGTATATAGAACCTCTCGAGAAGGTGCAATCCGATGCGACTGGTGGTGCGAAGCAACCATGGACGTCACCACCACCGTTCAAGGCTGCAACGCCACATCATACTCCCATAGAGAGCAATGGCATGCGCGTCCCCCATTCCCCAGATCGCAAACATGAAGCAGCTACCTCGTTGTCTCATCTCTGTATATAGACTTCAACCTCCTATTTTACTTGTTCTAACGTAACGAGTCAATTTATGGACATGCGCCAATTTATGGACAGGGTGCACGAGCCAATCAAAATCAAGTTCAACTTACTCCAATACTGAAATACTTTTGTAACCCAATATCGCACACAGAATAAATTCAAAGAGAATCAATTATCCGAACAGTAGCGAAGGCGCGAGCACCATGGCGCGAAAATCTGAAGCTCATTAAACAGAAAAAGCAAGGTGAAATAGGCAATTTTGTATGCTGCGCAAGGTGAACCACCTTGCGAATTCCATAAATAATTTTGAAATTGTATGATTTTAAAACAGTATAACTTGTATTTCTTTTTTTTGTATAGTTTCAATGAAATATATCTTCAAGTTTGTATTCTTGATTTTTATTTTTCATGTGTCTGTCAGTTTTTGGAATTCGCAAGGCAGGCTGTACAACCCCGACGGCGTGATCGAATACGAGCACTGGCCCTGGTCCAATATGTGGGAGGTACCGCAGCAGCTTGGCGCGCACACGTTCCGATTCCAAGGTCGGACCAAACGCTTGGTTGATCATCGCATCGACTTGGTGGAGGGCGGGACAGCCCAGGATCGACGGGTTGAGTAGCCGCATACACCGCTCCATGCCTCATCACGCCTTGTTGCGATACATTCTACTCCTGTGATGGCTGTTGATGCAAGGAGCATTTAGATAATTATGTAGGCTGTGTATGAGAGCAAGATCATGTGATGTGGTATTCAGGACTCGGTCAATTCTACCAGGTCTCAATTTACCACTTGGGATGACAAATTTCATTGGTCATCCCTCATTCCACCATCCAGCCCGTGTCGGTACCGTACATCTCCCTGTCGGTGTGATCACGTGGTTGCGTGGGCGGTGGCGCAAGACGTCTTGATTGCACCCATCGCAAGTGCTGAAGTGGCGGCTTTAGCACTTTGCGATGGGTGCTACCAAGACCTCTTCCTCCACCGCGTTGGCCCACCAGAGCCACCACGACATTGCAATCCACACAATATAGATGTAGTGGTGAGGATCCTGAGACGCAGTACCATTTCTGAGCCTAGTTGGTGGTCAGGATGTCTCATTCCGGACGACGTGGTCGAAATGGTGGAATTGTAATTGCCTGTGAGTTTACTTGTCGTTTAAATTCTATATCCTTTGATTTATTATATATACTGTGGAAGCTTATATTTGTTTCCATTGGACAACTTCGAATCGAACGAACTTTTAGTATAGTAAAATTAAGTATAATGTACCCTGTCCATAAATTGGCGCATCTCATCCAATGAACATTCAATACTTCAAAGCCACCTAACTGCTGTAATACCTCCGTAAACTTGATGAAACAAGTTCCATTCGATCAATCACAACCTAAGCTTTATGGGGATATAAAATGATCAAAAAATAGATAAAATTTGCAACATTTGCAACATATTTTCGAGCTATCTTCGACAAAAAAGGTGTCCATAAATTGCCTCGTTACGTTAGACGTTAGCAAGATGTTTGTATGATAACTTGAGACTGTATTAGACACTTTGGCGGAGTAAAAACGGTTGGCATAGTGCGCATGCTGCTGTGTTGCCGCCACTCCCGATTGTATACTGTAATAAGCTTACCTGTGTCGACAAAATGTACCTTTCGCCTACATTTTGACAATGGATGACTGCCAAAAATCTCGCAAACGAAAATAAGCTCGTCAAATTCTTCCGGATATGTAGAAGAATTTTGGGGCAAACCCAAATTCAATTAGTTCTGGAAATATCAATTTATAAAGGCTTTGATGTATTAATTTGCATATATTTTGGTTTGTCGACAGACTACAGTATTGTATGCGAAGATTGATTTTTCGACTTCGCATTGTACAATTTTGTGGAGGGTTTTATTTTATTATTATTACAAATGAACAGTATGTTTGCGAGATTTTTGGCAGTCATCTGGTATTTTTGGTTGCCAGAAAATGGGTACTGTTACTAGGTAGTACAATTAATAGTATTATTTTTGAAATGCTACCACTTGCTCGAGCGAAATCTTCTCGTCATGTCGCCCCCGTGCTACGAAAATTCGCGTCTTGCAGACAGCTTGAATGATGCGATGAAAAAAATGAGTCTTACCCGAGTGCGTGGCTCAAGAATGACATTTTCCATTGAGAGCTGAACTTCGAGAATGGGGGTTGAAGCGCACTCAAAAACGATGCCTCAATCAGTGAATTATCGCATTTCTCCGAAACACCAAAAAGTTGTAGCCTTAGTTGTACAGCTAGACCAGGAAAGTATGCCAAGCTACGACAATGTACTGTGCTTGTTAAGGTGTTTGGACCCGAACACGAGTTGTGTCTATTTACGCCCGTTTTGACGTACCGATAAGCTAACAGTCTACTGATAACGTTAGTACTACCATCGGTCGATCAATGAAGTGCCATAATAATGAGCCCCACTACTGGTGAAACGATCGCGTTCGACCTTACAGCTGCAGCCATCCTCGTCGCCAGGTGTCTGCAAATCACCCTAGGTACATTGCAGCATGGCTACAGCATCGAATGGAGCGATTGCCAACATGGTTAGGCACCAATGAGTATGGTTGCGTTGACCGCAACAAGAACTAGTCGTCCCTTTCTGGCATTTTACTTTAGATAATTGCTTTGGGGTGAAACGAACTGCTACAGTAGTACTCGATATGTCCACAAAGGACCAAAAAAAGGTCGGAGTAAGTTAGCCTTTATCTTGCTATTTGTTTGTGGTTTTGTGGATTGCCTCTGAGCCGTTCGTTGGAGGTATAGCCGCAATGAATAGTTGTTTTGGGTTTAAGTCATTTCTGACTATACCACAATCGAACGAATGTACAGTTTGGTGTTCGCAACCTTTTCTGGCACGAGGGCCTAAAATCCACTGTAACGTTAGTGCGCTTGCCTAACTGAAAGAAATACTTCATCTATGGGCCGCTTATTTTATAGGCCGAGGCCCCTCCACCATTGGTTCTTGTAGCCTGGCGCACCAACGCCGTTTCTTTGGAGGATGCGGGAAATGACGAACATAGCCATCCTCGGCGACATAAGCGAGGAAAAACGTATGTCTAGACGAAGGAGACGAGTTTTGGTGCAACTTTGTATTCGATTGCGCTGTTCAAACTTATATGGACTTCAAATTTTGGCCGCCAGTTACGATGCTTTTTGGAAAAGTATCCACTGCATTCCACGAGAACACCGTAACGTATTTTTAATATAAAGTAAGTATGTCATAATTTAAAAAGATAACATCGAAATGTTAACATCAATGTTTGTCATAATTTATGACAATGTTACTGTTAACTATCGAGAAAGTACATGCCTTTGTCTTGAATTGCTCAGCAACGGCTTGTCTGGGCGTGATATATTTGATATGAAAACTGAAGACATGGCTGCGGGCTATATAACGAGACGTGATGTGTGGTGATTGCACTTATTTAGCATGCGTGAAGTGACCTCAAACATGCCAAAAAACTGAAATATAGCTTACTTTGGGTGTGATTATATCCCGTAATAAGCATCATAACACCGTCCATGCCGCTTTATTACGTAGTATCGATGCTGCTGTACATGCTACCATGTTCTTGCGTTGATCGGTGATCTCTGAGCCCCGAAGCAGCACGTTAAAGACAGCATTTTGGCGTAAATTTCAAATACAGCGTGAAAGATGACGAACAATTATTATTATCATCTTAAGCACTATAATTTATAGCATACATTGATGTGTTATGTTATAATTTTCTAACATTTAAATGACATATTTTAAAAAGTTATGCACCCGTTTTGTGTGGAGTCAAGCAACTCTGCGCAATCTGATTGAGGACGTTGCCAATCCTTCAAAATGGCAATTAAAAGCAGTGCACCGGTGCTTTCTTCGTCAGGCTAAACTCGATTTGATTCTAGCGTGTTGTATGGTGATGATGAACAACGTACTGCCATATCGTTTGAGGATCGTAAAGTTGATCATTTCCCGCAGCCTCCTATACACACCTACACCATCGACACTGCGTAACGTTAAGCTTCGCCTTTGCAGTTACTCTTTCCTCGGGGACGATTGCCAATGATTGAGTGGCCATGAGAAAGTGTACGCACAAACGACAGCAGCGTCACGCCACCATCCAGTCCAAGTGACCGCGTCATTATGTCTTGTTACATGTGTGGCGCCGTTGCCAACAGCCACACAGTGACCTTTGAACGATCCCTGGTTCTACGGCATTCCGGGGGTAAGTTTCGACATCGACAGCACGCCCCTCCCGATTCGATGAACTGTGCTACCGTGGCCTTCACATCGTCGTTAACTATGTACGGTGCGCCCCCTTGTTCCCCTTTCAATTCCCCTTCCCTTCCAATATGGCATAGACGACATCGAAATCAGATGTAGCGACACGCGTCATGCGACCATCCAGTCCAAGTGACCGCGTCATCATGTCTCGTTCCATGTGTAGCGCCGTTGCCAACAGCCGCACAATGACCTTTGAACGATCCCTAGTTTTACAACGTTCCGGGGGTAAGTTTCGACATCGACATTACGCCCCCCCCCGATTCGATGTACTGTACTAAGTTAGTACATATGTACGCCCCGCCACCCCTGTTGGCCCCAATCACCGTCACTGCGTGCAAGTTATCGAAACCAGTGGACCCTCGAGAGTTTGCAGGTTTGCGGCTATGTTTGTTGGCACCCCCATAAGGTTCCACCTTGTTCAACTTGGAGGGCAGCCTAACCGTGACCTTCACATCGTCGTTAACTATACTATATACAGGCGCCCCCTTGTTCCCCTTCCAATTCCCCTTCTAATGTGGCATAGACGACATCGAGATCAGATGTAGCGATATGGAAGTCTGGAAATTAGGTCCGCACCAACGCTTGGACCAGAAATGTGGGCACTTTATCATTGAGCCAAAAGCACTCCTGTATGTTGTAGTACGACCTTTCGCCATGTCTCTTGCGCCTCCTCAGACAAGCGTGGCTGTCGTTCATCATGACAGCTCAAAATGGAGGGTCATTGTGCGCTAAACTTCTCATTGAACTAATACCACATTGCAGAGACGAGAGAAAATTTCACTCTCCTCACACTCCCTTTCAGTACGTCCTACAAACTTTATACTTTGAAGGATTGACATACACAGTGAGCACTCACTTCTTCATGGTCCTGGCTCAGCTGTCGTGGCCATGAATGTTTTCCAAGCCCAGATATTCTTCTTTCTATTGGGCTTTGCGAAATCCTGACATTTACAATAAAAGCTCCACATCCAAACTCTAAGTTTGAATTCAGATTTAATTATAAAAACTTATTTCCGAACCCATAGTGGGAGAACCCGTGTGTCACTGGACTTGCGTCTCTATGCTTCTGGTGACGTCAAGCGAAACCCAAAAAAACGCTCCCACCCTCTACGTTATTTTAAGATCGTCAATCCTTGACATCTTGGGTTTTGTATACTTTATGTGACGTTTCGTAAAAACCGTCAATAAAACGACTTTCATCCGGATACCCTGCCTCGAATCGAAGGTTCTCCTGTTCCACCAAGCATTTTCCAATTCGAGTTGCAGCCGCCGCCGCTAACCTTCCATCATGGCGCTTACTCGTGCCACTGTTGTCGCCTCCCGCCAGGTCAAGACGACCAAATGCCCGTTCATGGCCGCAAATCACGCCTCGAAGCAAGCTTTGATCCCCAACATCTCCCAGCTGGCCCGCATGTGCCCGCACATGTCGACGATGATGCAAACGCAAGCCCGCAGCACCCATACCGCCGCCGTCGCGCCTAAGGTTTTGGAATACGAACCCAAGAACTTTCCTTCGTTAACGACGACGTCTGCGGCGGCGCGTCGCCACAAGTACGAACGCCTCGGCGGCCTCTCCCATGATGAATACGAACGTGGGTTCCAAAAAACCATCCACCGCATCAAGACCGAAGGCCGATACCGTTCGTTTGCCAACTTGGAGCGCAAACGCGGCGAGTTCCCCAAGACCTTGTTCCATCACCCGGAGGGTCACACGAAGGAAGTGATCGGATGGTGCGGCAACGACTACCTGTGCATGGGCCAACACCCCAAGGTCGTGGGTGCCATGCATGAATTCTTGATGAAGTCAGGCGCGGGCGCTGGCGGGACTCGCAACATTCACGGCACGAACCACAACCACGTCATGTTGGAGAAGGAACTCGCGGACTTGCATCAGAAGGACGGCGCGTTGCTGTTTACGTCATGTTACGTGTGCAACGACACGACGATCGCGACGTTGGGCAAGCTATTCCCTGGGCTCATCATGTTCAGTGACTCCCTCAACCACTCGTCCATGATCGAAGGCGTGATCCACAGCCGATGCGAGAAGTACGTGTACAAGCACAACGATGTCGCAGACCTCGAAGCCAAGCTCAAGGCTGCCGATCCCAACGCCCCCAAGCTCATCTTGTTTGAAAGCGTCAACTCCATGGAAGGCACGGTCGCCCCCATGCATGCGATTTGCGACCTGGCCGACAAGTATGGCGCCATGACGTTCTGCGACGAAGTGCATGCCGTTGGACTCTATGGAAACCGCGGCGCCGGCATCGGCGAGCGCGACCACGTCATGGATCGATTGACCATGATCACGGGCACGTTGGCCAAGGGATACGGCATCATGGGAGGGTACATCGCTGGGTCTGCCGCTCTCGTGGATGCGTTCCGCAGTACCTGCCCTGGGTTCATCTTCACGACGTCGCTCCCGCCCATGCTGGCGGCCGGCGCGCGTGCCTCGGTTAACCACCTCAAGTCGTCACAGGAAGAACGTATGATGATGCATGCCAATTCCGCCGAGTTGAAGCGCCGGTTGGTGTCGTTGGGGTTCCCCATCTTGCCCAGCTTGTCCCACATTGTGCCAGTCATGGTGGGCGATGCGGTCAAGGTGAAGCGCGCGTCGGAACTATTGATGGAGAAGCACAACATCTACATTCAACCGATCAACTTTCCTACCGTTCCCCGTGGCGAAGAACGTCTCCGCATCACGCCCAGTCCCGCCCACACCGAGGACATGATGGACGACTTGGTCGGCGCGCTCCTCAGCGTGTGGGACGAGCTCGACTTGGCCCGCGACGGATGTGACCCGTTGCCTGAAGTGCAGTTCTTGAACTCGGACCTCCCTCGCATGGAAGCGGCTTAGGCATGTATACTGCGCATATGACGATGCACAGGACCAAGTCATTTGGGTAATGATCCAAGGAACACCCAATCTTGTTTGGACTTGATGTGTTGAAGTGTGGATTCGACGAATAGAAAGTGGGTCGCGATGTTTTCCACCAATCATATCGCAGTGTAAAAGTCTTGACCAATCGGATCGACGTGTGGTGCGATTCGATAATTTGTACGTCCATTTGCCACGTTATTTCATGTCCCAATGAAAATACTATTAATACGTAGTACTATTAATATTAATAATATTACTGTAGTACGTACTAGGATATACTGCAAAAGTAGTATTACGAAAAATACTTCGAAGTATAATAATTCCAGGTAGTATTATTATTATTATTTAACGTCGTATTTACCCCTTTTATTCATCAGTCGTCTCCGATTGTGAAGTGCGATGTCGCCATCAACATGACGTCGGCAAGATGGTTCGCGGGGATATTTATATTAGAAGGGCTTTAAAGGCACATGATAATCGGCAGCGCGGGGGCAGCGACGGTATCACCAGGCGGGACGGACTTGGGAATGATCGTGTCGATGTATTCCTGTGCAATGTCCAAGTGCTGCTCCAACGTGTGGCGCAGGTGCTGGTTCTCCGCCATGACCCGCGACAGTTCGTGGGCTTGTTGTTTGGCGATGTCGGCCCAGAGCGGGGCGGGCGACTGATGCATCTGACTCACGCGCAGCCATTCCAAGTGCCGTGTCATGGATCCCACTTCTTTCCGCAGAGCGTCGATCTCGTCTTTCATGCGGTTGCGTTTCTTACTTCCTAGAAGCTTTTTCAGTGGCTCGTTGTCGTCGTCTTTCTCGCCCGATTCGCCGTCCGAGGACGGATCCGAGTCCGCTTGCGCTGGTGCAACTGGAGGTGCAGCGGGGATCGACGGCGTGATGTGGAGGGGGTGCATGGCCATGGGAACCATGGGGGGAAGCTGATCGTTGTCTCTTCGCCTGTCGTGTGGAGGCGGCATTGGTGCCCATGTAGGCTCGGTCCACCGTGGCCGTTTGGACCCGAGGCAGTCGAGGTTGATCAACGATGGTGGCGCTGCATGATCCCATCCCATCGACTGCGGTGGCGGCGGTGAACGAGACATGCCGTCGTCCATCACTCCCCGTGCCATGGGGAGATAGTCTGGGCGTGGGTACAGGATCGGCACCCTGGACACGGGGTCGGCAGTTCCTCGTGACGGCACCGAGCGCTTCATGCTTGAGATCGAAAATATATGGGACCATTCATCCCTGCCAACAGCCAAGCGTTGACCAATCAAAATGCATAGTTTGTATATGGAAAACTGTATACCATCACCTAGTCCCACCACGTGTGTCACGAAAGTTTTCCTTATTTCAATTGAGTTTACACAACTCTTTCATAAATGTGTGGGTACTTGAGACGGCAATGTATTGATATACGCGAAATACCCCTATGCCCATCATTCGCCCGACAAACTCCAACGGAATCGCAACAAGATGACCAAGTTCAAGTCGGGACCGCCTCGTTCAAACTCCCATACATATTGTATCAGTAGCAAGTGAGTCTCTTCCATTTACTAGTACGCTAACTATCAAAGGATTCATTAGGGGTAGCGGCGTATTATTGCGGGAATCGTGAAGAGGCGGGCCTTCGCATCATGTCCTGTAAAGTCGTCGATCGATATCCAGAACCTGAGAACTCCAAGTTAAATGATGATGCACTCCAAGTTAAATGATGATGTGCACAATAAAATCATCTCACTTTGAAGTAAATAATTCACAATCACGTTCATGGAAGTAAATAAGGAATAAATGACGTTACCACGATATTCATATCGTACTTTATTGGAGGCATAGAAACACCAAACTTGGAATACCAACTTTAGGAAATATTCGCACTTTAACGGAGTATAGTTCTATTTGTATCCAATTTGATACGGACTTAATAGGGACGATTGTTTATGGTCGCGACAGCACCCGACCCCCTGAAGTACGTGCAGCTCCAAGTTGAGTCGCCAAGTAAAGTCACCTGCCTTCATCATGTTGGGTCGTTCCGTCGCTCGCGCCGCCGCCGTGTCCCGCGCCTTGCCTCTGTCCGTGGCCGCTGCGCCCTTGTCTACCCAGTCGGATGCGATCGCGAAGACGAGCTTCAAGGACCTGTTCTCCACGGAGGCTAACGCCAAGAACTCTGTCGGTACGGTCTACCTTCCCGACCTGTCGTCGTCATACTGACGGTGTCTTGTGCAGAATACGTGGTCGCCAAGGTTGACGACTTGGTCAACTGGGGTCGTCGCAGCTCTCTATGGCCCATGACCTTTGGTCTTGCGTGCTGCGCCGTGGAAATGATGCACACCGCTGGTTCCCGCTACGATATGGAACGCTTTGGGGTACGACGTGCTTGCTTTCTTTCTTCCCACGACCATACATACCCTCATGGCGTACGCTAGATGGTGTTTCGTGCGTCCCCACGTCAATCGGACGTCATGATCGTCGCCGGCACGTTGACCAACAAGATGGCCCCCGCGCTTCGCCGTGTGTACGATCAAATGCCCGAGCCTCGTTACGTGTTGTCCATGGGATCTTGTGCGAATGGCGGCGGGTACGTCCTCCTTCTCCATGTCCTATCCTTATCGAAATCTCGCAGGTACTATCACTACTCGTACGCGGTGGTGCGCGGCGTCGACCGCATTGTCCCTGTCGACATCTACGTCCCCGGGTGCCCTCCGACCGCAGAAGCGTTCTTGTATGCCATGCTGCAGCTTCAAAAGAAGATCAAGGGCAACAAGGGACTGTTGCTCAAGTTGCGCAAGTAAATACTCTCACACACACATGTTTGGCATCAATATGACCTTGTTGTGTTCAACCCTACTGTCCTTAAGTACCCCAGGCTTCATCTATCACGCCATGTGAACCTACTACCGACACTGCTTTTTGGTGTAAATGTATATAAAATTATAGAGTAAAATCACCACTCGGCACCGAGGGCTAGACTTCAACTTGCACATACATGGCTCTTGTAATAATCATTTCAATTTGGCGATGGCAATGTAAAACAAAGTGTAAACTGCCTCTCTCCCATCCATCTTGTCGTCCTGGTTCACCGTTGCGGACCAAATCCTGAGCCAGCGCTGGCGGCTTCCATTTCGATCAATTCTTGCCATTGTCGAGTAAGCTCCGCCACCATTGCTACAAGGTGGGCGTGAACTCGCACGGGAAGGTTCACAGTATTTTCCACGAGCTTTCTTGGCAGTTGGCACAATGCGTCCAGCGTATGCAAGTTGTGCGAACTCAGCACCTACATTTACATAGGTGCACACAACCATCCATCGTCCGTGGTTTAGTTGACTATACAGCTATCCGGATACATACTGTAGTATGGACAGGGTGTGCACCTACCTCAATCCACGGGAGCGCGCGCGTCACAGCTAGACGCCATAGGTGCGGTGGCGACTGCAGTCGGTTGGCATGACCAAGGGGCGCCAGCGCGTGGAAGTAAGCATGTACCAGCAGTAGGTCGCTCCGTTCGGCATGCGGAAACCGAACAACTGGGGTGTATGAGCTTGACACGATAACATTGACAGAAATGCATGCTACTATACTGTACATACCCATTTCGTTATTATGGAGCGGAACGGGTTGCACGTAGGTGCAAGTGGTGGGGCGTCGGATGTATGCAAACCCACACGGACATTGGCTTGGGTGCAGGTCATATTCGAACATGACAAAGCAGTTGGAACACAGCAACGGACTTGGTCCGTTGTCGCTGTGAAATCGACTACATAGAGACAGTGCACACACAACCGAACTCAATGGGTGCTGCAGGAGGTCGGTAGGTGCAGGGAAAACGAGAGTGTATGTATGTCCTCGTGCCTGTAGCAAGCGATGGCGGCCTCGGTGGTGGTGTTTGGTGACGCGTGGAGATGCCTTCGGATGGCTAGGTCTTGCTGCCACTGTTTCGCCAATTCCTGCCCAGCCAATACGGCTCGATCTAGATACGATCATAACGTCGAATATAGGTGCACATAGGTGTAGAACAAAAATGTACTGGGGTGCATGGCCACGTGGTGGGTTGCACATAGGTGCACGAGGTACGACCGAGCAACGCACACCAATTCGTGTTTGGCCTCGATGTGAAGCAGCTGCGTTCCCATAGCGTCCATGGCTGCATAGTGAGGACTCACGTCGTCCAAGAATGCCAGCACGCACACCCGCCACGGCTGCCGATCGGACGACTGGACGTGCAGTCTGTCCATAGGTGCAGGTCAAAATAGACGTTCGTAGCTCCTGTTTGTTCTGCACCTACCGCAACAGCTCGAGCGCACGAGGCCACCATGCATCCACAGGCTCAAGTAGGGCCAGCGGAAGGCAGTACTCATTGGCCAAGTGCACCCACAGAGAGAAATCTTCTGCACCCAGCCACCCCTGCACGTCCGACTCGACAGCACGGGCTAGTATGGCCAAGTCGCCCTGGCATTGCTCGAGGTGCAGAGCCACCACTGGGTGCAGACCTGAGACTACCGCACGCGTGTAGTTTGGTCGCGTCGTGTGCAAAAAGCTATGTCACTTTGCTTGTCAATGTTCAGCTTGAACACGTTGATGTACGAAGTATATGTAGGATATCAGGCGTACTGCTTGACACTTCGCTGTAGTCGCCGCACGCACGACTCTATGAAGCACAGCATGCCTCGCTCCTCTCGGGCGCGGCGCTGCATTCCCAGCGCGACTTCTTCTTTGGCATAGCCTTTCCATGCCGCAACCACCTTTGTCACCAGTCGTGTCGATACCACGGCTCGGTACCGCACCTACGATTCCCATATAGCGACGATGACGACGAAATGTATCATGTGTTGCATTGGCTAACGACGAACCACCACGGTGGCGACGAGATGCCGGCGCCGCGCAGCTTTGGCCTTGGGCAACATGGTCATGACGATGGCCAGTAGCACGTTTAGCTTGAAGTGGGCGCGCCGTTTACGCAGTGAAATGCCCAGAGCCACCGCGGCTACCATCTTCCACCAGCTCGAAATGGTGGTGGCCGCACCGTGGATGCGCAGCACTGCCCGTTGATGCATCGCGACATTCATGCGAACCAACGACTCGGCCTTGGACCGTTTGAACCTATATACAGCGATTCCTTGATGAGTTGAACGTAGGTGCAGGAACCATAGGGGTGTCCACCGAATTTCTGTCGCCCGTACGGCGTTGCGATGTTGGAGGAAGGGGATTTTGCATTGCATGACGCGATACCTTGATTAACAGTTAGCCGAGGGGGTAACGATAGGTGCAAAATGGACCTAGCACTGATGATGGTCGCGGCCTGATGAAGCAACGGGTGGCTTTGGGTTGCTAGGCGGAGCTCCGTTTCAGCTGCGCTGAGGTTTGCCCTGCTTTTAGGCAAATGTTGGGCCAAAAACTGCAACAAGTCGGAAAAGTCAGTTCTATGCCAAATCTTTGCAGAGGAACATCCTTACACGTTGGACCACATCGTGTGCATAGGCGGACGGGTACCCGTCGACCAAATCTGTTTGAATGGCTACGACAGAGAGAGAGAGATCGTGAATTGTATATCAGAATCTAGATAGTGCGAAGTATGCAATGAAAACCTGGTACAAAACTGACTGCGACTTACGTTGGTCAGGTGGGGAGAGTGTTAACATAGCCTCGAGGGCCCTAAACCGGTCCAATGCCATCTTTTTCGCCTGTTCATCACACCGGAGCTGCTGCACAAGCGCTTGGTACTCGTCCCGTCGACGTTGTAGCCGTGCCAGTCGAACTTGCGACGTTACAACGTCGTCCAGGACCCACCACTGTGGTTTGCCATACACATTCCTACACGCGGATTTAGGTTCTGGAGAGGCTGCACCTACGTGCACACCGTTTCTCAAGGACATGTCGGCCACGTTGTTGGAGGTGGCGGCGGGACTGCCGCCCTCTGACTAGCTTTTGGATGGTCGTGGCTGCGTGCTCATACAATGGAAGTCCTGACCAGGCCATGTCCAATCGTCAATGCTTGGCCTTTGAGAAGCTCAGTGAACAAATACCTGCTTTGAGGGCGTACTTGCGTCGAGCTCGAAGGTGGAGATGGAGCAGCCGGCGGTGTGTGTAGCTGTACAGGGCCATGTATACGCATTCATTTCGTGCACCTATGTATGCTGTACTGGGTGCAGGATGTACTACATACATACCTTCGCCACTTGCACTGAATGCGACGTGCCATAGTTGCTCGATATCGCCTACCACAGCTTTGCCATAAACATTTCATGTAGTAATTGCTGCATGCTACCTCCACCAGAGAGAGACCTTGGAACACCTCGTGTACGCAAAGGTAGGTGCAAAACGTTCAGATCAGGCGTACATACCATTGGGTGTAGGCTCGAGGAGATTGCAGCGGTAGGATGTACGTATGCCGAGCCCGAAGGTACGCAGTTAAGGCATCCAATAGGCGATGAAAGAACTCGGAGATGACAATCACACAACGCATAGACGACACCATTCGTCGGCATGATTGAATCTCCCGCACATGGAACAATGGCGGGGGCGCCAGCTTCACCGCCATGCCAACCAGAGATGCGCAGGTGACTATTATTAGCTGCTTATGAGATGATGTTAATGGAATTCGCAAGGTGAGCCACCTTGTTTCTTTTAAATATCCAATCAGAGCCCATCACACCTTGTTTCTTACACACGATTGGCTATAACACTGACAGAAGAGGTTACAATTTAGAAGAACTTTGAATTTTGTAGAGCTTTGTGTGATGCTGCCCCAGAGAATTGTGCACTGATGAGTGCACTCCGACTATATCCAATGTGGTTCTCCCCTTACAGCTAACATTATGTTGTGCGCTCGGTTGGGTCGCAATGTCGTGGTGGCTCTGGTGGGCCAACGCTGTAGCACTGCGGGAGGAAGCGTGTGTAGTTGAGGGCAAAATGCACAATGAATTAACTGAAGATCTACAAAGATCTCCTTAATCCTCATCACTATGAAATCTTCTTAGTCTACTTCACTACTTCTACACTATTATGCACTTTTGTATATAATTGATGCGGGTGCGGTTGAGACATTGGGGAACTTCACTAGGCTAGCGATTCTAAGCCATACTTGCCCTTGAGACACATTCCCAGGCTAGCATTAGCCAGGGTGCGTCATGGGCCAGGCACTTAGGAGCTGGGTGCGGGCAAGGTGGTGGCAAGGAGTTATCCGCCACCTGTCGCATCGCTACAATTCCCCCTGACGTCTTGCTACACCTTGAAACTCCTTGACTCCAAGTCTTGGACGAGTTGCTTGAAGTGCACAATATGCTTGATGTCCTTCTTCAGTTTCCACGTGGCATCGCTTTCGGGCTGCCCATGCCACCAACTTGCGATTGAACTGGCGCTTCTTGAGCAGTTTCTCGACAATGTACATTTCTTCACCGGTGGGTTTGTCTAGAACAACAGGAGTAGCTTTTGGGATAGGTCGGGAGGCAAACTTGGCTTCGTTGGGCTCGTAGTGCTTAAGTCGATCAACGTTGAACACGTCATGCACACGTGACATCGAGCGAGGCAACCTGAGGCGCATAGCGTTTTCATTGATGGTTTTGACGATCTCAAAGGGGCCGATGAATCGTGGAACCAGCTTGGGACCCTCGGACTTGTCGAGCATCTGGGTATGCTTTAGAGGCAGGTTGCGAGTCGCTAGCAGCATTGCCTTCCTCGAAGGCCACGTTCGGGTGGCGCTTGTCACAATACTCCTTCTGACGCTGCTGGGCCTTCGTCAAATTCTCGTGAACCATCCGAATGACTTTCTTTCGATGTTCCGCAAAATTCTTGGCAAAGCCATTCTTGGGCAAGGAGCCGCTCACGAAAGGGTTGCGCAACTTGAGGCCTGTGTGGACTTCGAACGACGTCAAGCCGGTTGATGTTTGGACCAATCCTTGGTGGGCATGCTCGATCGTTGGCATATGGTCGACCCAGTCTTGTTTTTGATACGACATTTGACATCTAAGCGCATCTTCGAGAGTTCGATTCTGGCGCTCAGTCGCTCCATCGGCTTGAGCTCTGCCGGTGGTAGTCATGGCTTGGCGGATACCGAAAACCTCCATGAGGGACTTCGAAAACGTGCTTGTAAACTTGGGGTCACGGTCGCTGATGATCATTGCTGGTACTCCATGGTGACGAACAACATGTTCGAAGAATTCCTTCGCCGTTTGGGGTGCGTCGACATCTGATCTCGTCGGGATGCACTTTGGCCGCTTGGAGAGCTTGTCTACCACGACCAAAATGGCATCATAGCCTTTTGACTCGGACAAACTGGTGATCCAATCCGCTGAAACAGTTTGCCAATACTCTTCCGGCACGGAAATGGGAATCATCTTGCCATTTGCACGCAGACTGCTCGTTTTGTATCGACTGCGTGTTTTGCAAGTCGCGACGTATAACTTCACGCCTTCGGCAAGAGTGTTCCAGTATTACCACTACGCTACACTTAACATTGTACGTGTCGAGTTCCAGGATGTGCGGCAGTGCTTGAATCGTGCGGGTGAGATAAAATCTCGGCGCGTAGCACGTCATCGCTGAGGACACATAGCTTCCAAACTTGGTCTTGGCTTCGCAGAAAGTAGAGTCCTTCCTTCCACTTGAAGGCTTCACCTTTCAGCGACTTTGTTCTTGGATCCTTTGCGTACTGTATGCCTTCACAAAACGTTCCTTGGCTTTGGTGTCCATCTCGATGGTGCTAAAGGACACTTGCTTCGAGTGGTTCACCGTTAGGCGTTGAGGCACTAGCACTCCTTTTTGCTCCCTCAACTCCTTCCCCCAAAAAGGAGAGTGGACAATGACGGCGATGTCACGAGTCGTGTAGGTGGAGAGAGCCGAGGCATGAACAAGAAGTATATTGATGCGCGCCGCGACTGAGTCACAGTGGATCCACACGCGTGAATTGAAAGCTGGTGAACGGTGGAGGTGGCATGTGGAGGCCGAGACAAGGCATCAGCTACTACATTCAATTTGCCCGGGCGATGATGGAGGGCAAAGTCGAAACAACTGAAAAACTCAAGCCGACGCGTCAACTTGGGCGTAAGGACCGGCGTTGTCATGAACCACTTGCAGCAGGAGTTGTCGGTGTATACATCGAACCGAGTGCCATGCAGGTAATGGTGCCACTTGCCCACAGCCAACTTAATGGCGTGCAATTCTTTTTCGTGCGCGGACCAATTCTGTTCGTGAGGACCGAGGCGTTTGGACATGAAAGCAACGGGGTGATCATTGCCGTCGCCGTCGAACTGGGAAATGACTGCACCACAGCAGATACCAGAGGCGTCGGGGTAACCACAAAAGACTTGTTATAGTCAGGCAATTGCAAAACAAGGGCTAGCTGCAGCGCGAACTTGATTGCCAAAAACTCTCGATGCTCGTCCTCGCTCCAGTGCCACTTGGCTCCTTTCTGCAGCAATCCACTAAGGGAACCGACGAGCTCCGCGAAGTCGGGGATGAACTTGCGGTAGTAACTGGCAAGACCGACAAAGCTCATGACATCTTTGCACGACTGAGGCTCCGACCACTTTTCGATAGCACGGACTTTGGACTGGTCCATGTGGAGGCCATCTTTCGAAATGGTGTGACCCAAAAGGTTGACAGAGTCGACAACAAACGAGCACTTGGAAGGACGCGCATATAGCTTCTCGATGCGAAGGACAGTGCAAACTGAACGCAAATGATCAGAGTGCTCTTCGGTCGTCCGTGAGAACACACAAATGTCGTCCATGTACTCCACGACAAAGTCGAACTTGTCAAACAATCGACGCATCAGGCGCGACCAAATGCCTGGCATGCCTGCCAAACCCATTGGGGCCACTACCCATTCATAAACATCGCGATGGGTCCTGAAGGCAGTGTACTTCCGCGCTGATGGCATCACGAGCATTTGGTGGTAGCCAGACGCTAAGTTGATCTTCGTAGAGACTCGGCATCCGTGCATGCGGTCAAGTCAAAGAGGACTTCAATGTTTGGCAGCGGGATCTTTGGCACGATGCACTGAGAGTTGACATGGCGGTAATCCAACACCCATCGTATAGGGGTGTCGGACATGGCGGTAGGAAGCCACTCATGGCGTGAAAGCATCTGACCACCATCATTACGCTTGGGAACACTGAAGATGTTGGATACGCAGTCGCTGTTCGAGAGCTCGATCCAGCCCTTTTGCAACAGATCGTCGACGAACGTGTCCAAAGAGCCTGCTTCCACCTTGGACAAACGGAATGGGGGTCGATGTTAGGGTCTCGCGTCAGGCTTCATTGTCAAATCGAACTCAATCGGACGCGGCGGTGGTAACGTGTTGGGTAATTTGTCGGGAAACACCTCACGAAATTCATTCACCGCCCTGGCCACGAGCGGGTGTAACTTCTGCTGAGGTTCCGTTTTCGTCATGAGTTTGATCATCCATCCGTCGATTCGTTCAGGCTCGACTTCACGTGAGTTGACGTTGAGGATTTGGTGGGTACGCCAGTCGATGACAGGGTTGCAACGAAAGAACCAGGGTTTCCCCAATATGACGTCAAAGTCCTCTTTCCGAGATCCCACTTGGTAAGTATAAGATCTGGGAACGTCCATTGACCAAAGCAAAGTGTGCCAGATACTTCCTTCACTTTCTTGATGCCAGAGCAGTGTACATCGAAGCCTTCCGCTTGAACTTCCTTGGAACGGATCACTGCCTTGGCCAAACCTGGGCGGCAAAGCAAGTTCGAGACACCAGAGTCGATCAGGATGCGAACGCTTGTGCTGTCGAGTGCGGCGTGAACTATCATCAACTTGTTTTCACGTGCTGGCACCTTGCTTGCTTGTTGGGCGGTATTGATGTCAATGGACTCCTCCTCCCCCGAGTCTTGTTGGGCTAGGTCCATTTAGTTGCCTAGGATCACGTCATCTTCGAGGTCTTCTGTGTCGCTGTTGACTTCGGTTACTTGGGCAGTGTGCTGACGACTTGGTGTATTGCTCTGGGGTTGCTGAGGCCGGTTGGTATGTCTTGAGATGTTGTTGCGCTGGGGTTGGGCTTGGCATCTTCCTTGATTGTTCCAGGGTGGAGAGCGGCAGTCACTGATTCTGTGGCCCATGCGTCCGTAGTTATAACAGGGGCCAACTTGGCATTGTCCACGGTGTTGTACTTGGGCGTTGTCTACTTCCATGTCGTCATCTTGGCGCTGGCGTAGTGGATACGCATGTGGTGGACGGCTTCCTTGGTGTCGGTTGTTGAACTGATGGCGGCGATCTTGAAATCCTTGATGCGGGGGGCGATCGTGGCAATGAAAGAGGTCGCGGTCTCTGGCGTGACTACCGTTAAGGGTCGAGTTATGGGAGCGCTCATAATCCAGGGCAACTTGGATCGCGGAAGTCACAGTCTCGCAACGACAATACTGCAACTCTCACGGGTTCTGGTACGCAGACCGCGTTGGAACCAAGACACCTTGTCGCGCTCGGTCATGTCGCACACTTGCGTACAGATTCGTCGGAACTTGGCAACATACTCGGTCAAGCTCGCACACTGGGCTTGCTTCAATTCGTATAGCTGATCACGCAGCCGATCTTGTAAATCGTCGGGTTCAAACTCGGCTCGCAGCTCTTCTTCCAGTTCAATGAGGGTACTTGGAGACTCACCGCGCGAAAGCCGTTCTTGGTACCACGCTGCCGCAAGGCCACGGAAATTTGCCACCATCATGGCAATGCATCGCTGTTGAGTCCCATCGTTTTCTTGGTAATCCTCGTTCGTTACCTTGAAAAATGTCGTAACTTGGTGGATGTATAGACTAATACTTTCGTCCATTCGTCCATAATACTTGGGCACTATTAATCCTTCAACTTTAAGCTCTAGTTGTCGTATCGCTCGTTCCATGTGTTGACTGGGCATACACTTGCTCGCATCCACTTGGGCGGCTTGGGTGCGGGTAAGAATTTCCAACAGCTGTTCATATCGCTGAAAGGATTCTGCCATTGTGCGCAAAACTTCATCCATCTTGTAATTCTGGTGAAATTGAATTAATCTACTTCGAACTTCGACCTATTTTCTTGCTTCAGCCTTGATCTTGCGGGCCTTGTGGTACACTTGGATCTTCCGGTCGAGGACTCCTTCAATCAGTTCCTCGATGTGGTCGTTCCAATGGATTAATAAGTCTGTGATCTCTTGGGTAGCGTTGCGCGAGTCAGAGTTCTTCGCTTCGGGGATCTGGGCACGCAACTTCATAACCACGCGTTGGTGACGGGTCAACACGCAATGGTCTTCGCGTAGCTTAACCGGCAAATCCGGACGGGTCGAATAATTCGCCGATGTCTTTTGTGGCCGCGAGTTGGGGTTTGGGGATCATACACTTGCAGATCACTCAGAACGTGTATGGATTTTGTTGCTGAGACTATCACCAGGTAACGGGTAGCAAAGACCACGTTTTAAAAACCTTCGGCGATGCGCTGTCTCTGCAAACGACCACACAACCGTCTAAGAAGACTAGCTACGTACGGCGGGTTGACGGAGCTTGGGGCGAGATAACCAGGAAGTGCTACCACTTGTAGCACTGCGGGAGGAAGCGTAGGTAGTTGAGGGCAAAATGCACAATGAATTAACTGAGGATCTACTAAGATCTCCTTAGTCCTCATCCCTATGAAATCTTCTTCGTCTACTTCACTACTTCTACGCCAATATGCATTTTTGTATACAATTGATGCGGGTGTGGTTGAGACATTGGGGAACTTCACTAGACTAGCTATTCTAAGCCATTCATTCCCTTGAGACACATCCCCAGGCAAGCATTGGCCAGGGTGCGTCTTGGGCCAGGCACTTAGGACCTGGATGGGGCCACGGTGGTGGCAAGGAGTTATCCCCCACCTGTCAATCGCTACATACGCGATGACGCAAGAGGTCTTGGTAACACCCATCGCAAAGTGCTAAAGCCGCTACTTCAGCACTTGCGAAGGGTGCCACCAAGACATCTTGCGCCACCGCCCGCGCAACCACGTGATCACAACGACAGGGAGGTGTACGGCACCGACACGGGCTGGATGGTGGAATGAGGGATGACCAATTTCATGGGGTTAGTAGGCAAGTGGTGAAATGAGACATGTTAGAATTGGCCGCGTCCTGAATACCACAACACATGATCTTGATCTCATACACAGCCTACATAATTACTGTATCTCAATGCTCATTGCATCAACCGCCATCACAGGAGTAGAATATATCGCAACAGGGCGTGATGAATCTACACAGCGATTATCGTGATTTCACGGCATTTGATTGGACAAAATTGGACAATTTTGAATTCGAAAGGTGACCTGTCTTGCGAATTCCAAAAACAGACAGACACTTGAAAAATAGAAATAAACAATACAAACTTGAAGATATATTTAATTGGAATTCGCAAGTTCACCTTGCTTTTTTGGTAAATGTCTATCTTATGAGTGAGTGTAGGTGCAGCTCTGGCATCCTGAGAACGGACACACTATCCACCTAGTACTGTACTTGCCCGGTCGCTTATATTATTGGAACAATATATATGCAGGAATATTTCTTATTTGTGTACTATATATTAATACACGGTATAAGTATGAAGCAAAATTTTCTCTGACCTTACTTTGATGCACCAATAGTGTACAATCGATTATCCGGATATTCGAACGCTGTATGTTGGCTTTACCCCTTTACTTTTCGACTACACCGTGCCAATGCAAGCGGCAGGACTGCCGCCTCAATATGCAGCCGAGCTGACAAAGTTAGCCAAAGTCAATACCAAGGTGCTACTGGCGTGCTCGAATCCCCGCAACAGCAATGCCGGGTCTCCTATCCAGTGGACCCCCCTTGGCAAGCCAGTGGACGGCGGCGTTCAGCTATACACTGGCAACGACTCGTCCATTCACGACAAGTCCCAATCTGCACTCAATCTCGTGTGTGGTGTCGTGTACGTCCAAGCGCCTCTCCACGAAGTGTCCCATGCCCTGGGAAACTTGACGACGAACCCGTACTTGAAGCGCGTTGTAGACGACCCGGTCGTGATCGATTCTCGAACGCTGTACGACATGGACAAACGCGACCGGCGCGCGACGCGGATACAGTGGATGTCCATCCGAAGTGCGTCGGCGCTCATGCAGCACCGCGACTTTGTCGTCGTGCAGGTACATGTGCAACCACATCGCATAGAACTTGGGATGATTCGCAACCACATCGCCATAGACCTTGGGATGATTCGCAACCACATCGCATAGATGTTGGGATGATTCGCAACCACATCGCATAGATGTTGGGATGATTCGCAACCACATTGCATAGATGTTGGGATGATTCGCAACCACATCGCATAGATGTTGGGAGGATTCGTTAGACTGACGTTGTCACATTGACGGTAGCATCAAGACGAAGTGGCCATACCATCTACCAGTAGTCGCGGGTCGACTGTTCGAGGCTGGGTATCGTGCATCCATTCCGTCAACTTGCCCATGGTGCCTCCGTTTACGCAAACGTACTTGCGAGGCGGGGTGTACGCGTCGGGGTGCGTGGTCGTCGTTGCTGCACCTACGTTCAACTCAGCACCCACTATATTGTAGGTTTGTGCTCCGCGAAACCAATCAGCGCCGCATCACTGAAGCAGTCGTGGTGCTCAAAGTAGACTTCAAGGGGTACGCCCCCCGTCTGCTGTGCACCGGCACCCTCAAGGCGTGGGCCATGTGTGTTGGCCGCGTGGCGAAGTACTTTCGAACACATCGGAGTGCGGACAACCTGCACCTACCTCGCGTGCACCTAGACGACGCCCACCAATTGGCTGGCAACGGACGGTGTTGGGTCTGCCACGATCGCTTTGGTGTTCACTCGGACAAGCACTCGTGTCGCAAGTGCCACAAGGTACAGTGATCGCTCTTGATATGTTGTACATCTAGGTGTATCTCACAATTTCAGCAGTTTTCCTTGGTTTGGTTTGGTTCTGCACCTAGGTGTACCTCAAAATGTCAGCAGTTTGGATTGATATGTTCTGCATCTACGTGTACCTCACAATTTCAGCAGTTTTCCTTGGTCTGGATATGTTGTGCACCTAGGTGTACCTGTCATCATCGTAGTATATATTTGATTCATCCACCTAAACAAGCTCGTACATTCCTAGCGAGTGTGCAGTGCCTGCACAACTTGGGCCGACGTCGACTTGGATATTGTCGGTCGAATCAACGTAGTCGTGTGCACGAGCTGTGCTAGCAACGCCAGCAGCAACGCCAGCAGCAACGCTGACCAATCTCGACCAACGCCCAAGCAACGCCACGCCCCATCCCGGTCGGCATCGGCGCGCCAAGCGCCGTCTTCGCATTCCGTCGACTCGCCAAAGCAGCAGCCCAAGATGGAGGAATGTCCTCATGAGATAGCCGACGTGGACAAGGAAGTGTCGCCCCGGTTTACTCAGGACATTCCCATGCGCCCATCCGCAGCGACGTGGATGGACACGCTGAGATGCGATCGCCGCCGCCCCCTCCAACACAAGTACGACAAGTTCGACGACGTGATAGAGGGCTGTTCATTAAACGAGCCCCCCCCCCCGACGAAGGAGATGCCTTCGAGGCCTCGGCAGGGCTCTATGCCCACTCCTCGCGTCGGTCAGGTAGCTGCCCTGCACCACGGTGAGCCCCCCCCTTGTCGCCGGTCGCTAACTCCCACAAGTCACCATCCATCTCCTCGTCATGATCTCGAATATGCGACATCGTTGGCGCCTCCAATTCGGCTCAAGTCGTCACATACCAACGAGCCTCTTGTTCGTCCGTGGGTCGCCACCACGACCAGCAGCACCATCTCGTCCACAGTAGCGCAGTGTTCATTTGAGACGTCGTCGGACGACACCATCGACAGGGCTAGTAGCGGATTACTACAACTGCCGTACGATCTCGAGACTAGTATTACTAGGACTAGTGACGTCAGTGTCGTGGAAGCATTCACGAGTACGGGCAATGTCCTCGACTTGACCAAGGGGGACATTGCTTCGTTTCGGCTTTAACACTGATGTGTTTATATATATATGTACTAGTATATAATTAATATATTGTGGATTCAGTACAGATTATTGTCGAATCGAATATCTCGGCGAACTGAATTGACATCACGAATTATCTCGCTATTGGCGAATCCCATTTTGAGTGGATTTGATTGGCTCTTACAGAAAGGAGAAGTATATTCAACCAATCAGAACTCTAGCGTGATTCAATATTGATTAGACAAACCACCCGAATTTTACAAGTTTATAGCGAATTCACAATAATGTGGACCAATTTCATGCCATATTGTTGGGTGTATGCCACGATGCCCAATTGCTATGATAGTCATAGAAAGCCATCAAGTATCGTGTAATAACCCTTGTACATGATGTGTCTGCACTATTGACTGTTTACATCAGCAAAGACAAATCCCACATACAAAAATCAAGATAATAATCCTTACTAATTCTCAATATTCAAAATTGGTATGGTCCGTACTAATTTTCCAAGTCCATAATTAGTGTGGATTGAGATATACTGTAAGTAGTGCAGACCGCACTAATACATGTGGTGTAGATGTGGTGACGAGGTTGAAAATTAGTGCGGTCCGCACTACGTAATTACGGTCAACGGTGTAGGTAGTACTGTACTAATACTACTAGAAGATATTGCTAATAAATACAAAATACCTATATTCACACTGTCAGTTCAGCATAAGACATTCCTTTACCAAAAGGAATAACAACCCAAGTTAATAAACTTAAAAAAAAAGTTAAAATAGGAGCAAATATAAATAAAACTACATCACAATTATTAATACTTGGTAACACAGTTTCTTTTACAAATACTACTACTATTAATAGTAGTAGTACGTATTATTAATAATAGTAGTATTCCGAATACTAGTAGTATTTTTGACTTTCGTCTCCTTGTTTGTACGCTCTCCAACTACTCCAGTGAGTTTAGTACTATTAATAGTACATATTATACTTCAAAGGATATATTAACAGAGTCTGTGAATTAGAGCATCTCCAACGGCGTTTTTATTTCTATTTCAATTCGAAGTTACGGATGTAGAATAGAAACTCTTGCTCTATCCGGAGGGTTTGTTGCTATTTCACGCGAAAATAGAAATTCTGCGAGTCGAAATTTCTAAAAAGTCCGGATAGTGCCAAAATAGCAACTGTAAAAACGAAGTTTGACTTTAACCTATGCTTTAGCAATAGGTTAGAATTTACCGTTGGAGATGCTCTTACTAACAGTACTACTGGTAGGAAGGATGATTAGTATTATTAATAATAGTAGTATTTCCATAGATGTTTAAAAACACAAAAACAATCTCGAGCGAACCATGTTCTATTACTAGTAGTATTATTTTGTTTCCGTAAGCTTGTAGCAACACTGCACGCAAAGCCTAATGTGAGATACTGTGGACGGTTACTGGACGGCGGCAGCAAGTGCCCCACGGATCACCGCGCGCTCTTCGTCGGAGGCCATGCGCAGGCGGTCGACGAGCAGTTGAGTCAGCGCCACGACGTCGCCGGATTCATTCGGACGAGTCGCGGCGGACGGGGTCGGCGGCTGGTGCTGCTGGAGCCGCGCCAAGAGGTCCGCCACATTTGGAGGCGGGTGGTTGGCGCCATTTTCCAGCTAAGAATGATTCCCATGACGACGCAGAACAAGTCACAACAGAGTGTAGGTCCTTGTACAATGAACACCACCAACACCCAATATGGTGGATTCGGTCCAAAACTTTCAATCCAAGAATCATCGACGGTATTGGCTGATCCAATATTTTGAGTGGATTTGATTGGCTCTTTCAGTATATTCAACCAATCAGAACTTTAGCGTGATTATTCAATAAATATGTTGGAAGTTGAAAACAAATAATACACGAGTAGGTTCAAAGTGGGTTACCAATGGAGCGGCGGGGATAGTGGCGGCAGTCGTCGGCTGGTTCTCCATAGGTTGCAAGAACATGTCGATGTCGTGGTCCAGGAATCGCGACACGGTGAGCGCCGTGGGGTCGGATGGGGCGTCCATCAAAGGCGGCGCCGACGACGGCATGTCGACGAGGATGCTGTCTCGATCTTGGGTCACGTACTCGTCTGGGTTGGCGTCTGTTGACGTCGCATAGTACCTAAAAAAACCACAAGATGATATATTCTCACCACCGACACCAAAAAATGATATATTCTCACTACCGACACCAAAAAATGATATATCATCACCCACAAAAAAGATATATCAGTCCAACCACCGACCCCCCCAAAATGGATATATATATATATATGTCTCGTACATCATCCAACCACGACCCTGGTTTTGAAAACAACATCGACCAATCACATTGATCGATAGACAACAAGGATGCACATCCGACACATCATGCATGCAAAAATGTGGCGATTTATGTATGTATACATCAATAGTATTGTCAAGTCGATTCGAAATTGGAGTGGGGTGCTCCATCGAATGTCCAGCACCACAATCGATGATCGACCAATCCAAAACCCACAACACGAACCAAGTAGCCAATCAAAGTATCATTCTTCGACCAATTGAACATTGAATTAGTGTTTGACTGCAATTAGTGTGACACTGGACAATCATTTCATACAAACGTCAGTCCAAACAATCGACCGATAGATTTGCGCGAGTCAGCACAAAAGTCAACCAAATTTTGGGAATAAGGACAATTGGAGTACTAGTCGGTGTATATATTGTCGATTTGATACAAATTTGGGGATCGAATCGCGTCGACCAAACCGATCCACAATCGAATGATTGGTTGTTGAATTTCTTTTAAAACGTTTTGATTGGTTAATAATTTTGAGCTCATCTGAGGTAGCCAATCAAATCGATTTAAATTCCAACGAGAAACCACACCACAATGAAATGTCACTCGAAAGCACACAATATATTGTACCTTGTTTCTTTGATACGGTAGCGCGATCCTTTGTAAATACCGGGATGCTGTGGGGGCACGAGCGCCGCCCCTTCCGCTCTCGGCGTCGAAAACAACGGTTTTTTCGGGGATGACGTGGTTTCTTTCGCCTGGGTGTATCCCCCTGTCACAGGCGGCGGCGTGGCGGCGTGGTCCGGATAGCTTCGTCCGTACGGTTCGCTTTCCGGCTCCGCGAGGGCTGGCTGGGTGGTCCGATGGGGGGAAATGATTTCCAGCCGTAGTCCCGTGCCGGCCCCCGCCCGCGACTGATTGAGCGCGGCGAGCACATCCGGTGCATTTCGCAAGTCGCCGAGGTTCACGGCAGTCGTGGTGGGGGCGTCCGGGGGGATGTACACCTCTTGGGTGGCAACAGGTCGCGACGACAGCATCGACGGGTTGTTGTGGGGCGCGGGATGGCGGTATACGGGCTGTGCGCGGGATACAGATGTGCCGACGTCATCGTACAAGTTGAGAAACGACTCGCGTTCGTCCCGCAGCATGGACATGCGGGGGTCGTCTGGTCGGTTGGTGCCGTTGTAGCGAGGCACCGGGTAGTTGGTTGACACCATCGACGACGCTCCTCCTCCGCCATAGTTTTCGTACGTGGGAGGTGCGTGTTGACGGAACCCCCGAGATGGCGGCGGCGGTTGGGTGGACGGGCGGGTCGGGTTGTATGGGGGCTGTTGGTGCTGTGGTGGCGGTTGATGATGTTGATGCTGGTGCTGGTGGTGGTGGTGGTGACTGGGCGGGTATCCACTGGCGTGATGATGGCTCGGTCGGTTATGAAGTGGGGCTACTGCTTGGTGCAGTTGTTGGGAAGGCGGGTGGTAGTTTTGCAGCTGCGGCATGGTTGGCTTCGAGTACATGTTGGCATGTACTGGGTTCATAATGTTGTTTAGACGCAGATCCATTTCGTCGTAGTCAGGGTAGGGCGGTCGGGGGGCTGGCGGCGGCTGGCGCAAGCGCACGGTGCCCCCCTGTCGCATATCTTGAGCCGGCGGTTGTCCGTGGGGCGACTTGTAGCGTGGGGGGGGCTGCGTCCCGCTCAGCGACGACTTGGGGGACCGGATCATGCCACCCGCGCCGCTGAGTACGCTGCGATTGTTGGGCTCTGACTTGGTCATTTGCAGGTTGTTCAGTCCGGGGTGGGAGGCGGCGACGGACCGTCGGCTGTCCATCGTACACAAGGTGCATATGTGGTACTTTTTAATGCCTTCGACGGGCACCACGGGGCGCTGCTGGGTGCAGCAGCTCGAACACACGACTTCGCCGCATACGCGGCAGTTGTGCTTCTTTTTCAAAAAGTTGAACCCCGATACACAGCATGCGCACTGGGTCGCCGCGTGTTTCGGCTTCAAGTGGATGTCGCCTAGGAGCTGCAGACGTGGCGACGCCTGCAACCGACTACCGGATACCTGCACTTGGTCGGGAAGTGCCATGTGAAACGGATGGTGGCTGTTTGGAGCAACGGGTTGAGTTGGTTGGGATCCTTGTCGTCCATACTGGTACGATGCATCGTCGTGGTATCGACTGGGAGGGGGGTCGCTTTGCTGCGACGGAGACGCAGTAATGTGACGAAGGTCGCGCGAGTGCCGCGTGTACTCATCGGACGGGTACCCTCCCCCGTGCGGCGGGGCTCCTGCTTGTTGTGGCAGGGGGGCTTGCATTTTTCGATAGCTCGACGGGCCAAGTGGTGGCTGTGGGACGTGGTGGTTGTTGTGGTTGTTTGATGGGACTCGGCTGGGTGGCGAGTTGGTCGAGCTGCTGGTTGCGTGGGGGGGTGGAGGTCGACTGGCAAAGTAATCTGCGAGCACTTGCAGACTCATGATGCGTCGCTTCATCATGGTCTGGCCGAGCTGTGGCGACACGTCGTCCCCGCCCTTGAAGTCGATCTGAAGCAGGTAAATCGCCTCGAGCTCGCCAGGAACGTCCGACTCGGTAAAGACAAAGCCGGACCGGTACAAGCTGCCCCGGACGCAGTCGGGAGGAGACGCGACGGTCGCCAAGTCGATCGAGTGCATGGCGCATACCCACCCGCGCTTGTTTCGCTTTTGGTCCATCACGTCTTCTTGGCTCTAAAAACAGCATCAAAGGTACTACTACTACTACTACTACTAGTCGTCTTCGTCGTCCTACTAGTACTACTGAGCACCAGTACCTCCAAGTAGACAAAGTCGCGGGAACTTGTGGCGGTGGGACTGACCATCGTCGCTGTCTTCAAGCTGATCATGTGTCGAGGGTACTGCCGAGACCGCGACCGAATCGGCGCCACGATCTGCGAGTGCGTCCAGTCGGCATGGAACTCGGCGTAAAAGTCTCGGACGTGGGGGACGTCAACGTCGGTGGCGTTGAACAGGTCGGCCACTTGATCGATCGTGGCCGAGAGGTGCGTGACGCCGCACATGTATGCGAGCGTGCGGTTCGTATCGTCCAAGTCTTGACCCGTGAACAGCTCCACATGGTTCTCAAACCCGATCGTCGTCCACCGCACCGGCGACCGACTCGATTCCGTGCGCCGAGCCGAGTACGCCACGTGTGTGCACACCTCTCGGCCCAGCGACTTCATGCGCGACACATCGTCGTCCGTGAGCTGAAGCATCGCTGTCGCTTCACGGCCGCTCCAACTACGAACGGGAGAATAGTGGTGCTCTTGGCGACGTGGGAGAGCATTACTCCTTCGACTAACTTGGCCTTTCTTCGAAACCGACGCTGATTGGCTCGTGTGATTACACACAATGGTACATAGTGAGACACCCGTTTTGAATTTAATATGCAAACCCACACAGCGTTTACATAACGTGATTGGTCGGACCTTGGATATTGTAAGACATTTGTTTGAAAATACATGCAAATTAGTGGGTCCATACTGAATGAGCTGAAAACATGCATGCCAAAGATGCAACCGCAGTGTATGAGCGTTGTGGGTTGTGTGCAAAGCACGAGTCTTTCCAACGGTCCAAGATCTTGCGTGGCAAAATGTAGTAGTATGCCTGTGTAAAAAGCACAAGTACCAGTATGAACCATAAAAAAATATGCGATAAAATATTCGATAGGCGTGACACATGTCACTATGATCGGTTTGTCCCAATGCGAACTTCGACTGGGGGTGGAGCAGGGTGCGCACTAAGAAACGTAGACAATTCACTGACACTATTGGCCAATAATCCTTTTTGAATGAGTTTGTGCATTTATTAATAATTATTTACAGTAATTAGGAAGAAACTAGAGCAAGGGACGTTTCCACCATGAAGGTCAACAAAGTGAAAGCGTCGACAATGATACATGTAGACAATACGGATCGTCAAGTACAGTAAGCTTACCAGTACAGTATTTGGGTGAAACGAGCAAAATTTCATGGGTCAGTTATGGAGTTTTCGGCGTTGAGCTGACAGTAACGCGAGTTGTAATGTTCTAGGATCCCCGGAGCAATAACTGTGTGCCTTCAATGAAAACGGAAATCCAATCCAATATCCCCCCCCGATCTCCTTCAAGTCAATGCATTACCAACCGACCACGCCAGGCATTAATCAAGTCGCAGTTACCTCCCTCCTCCATGGTACTGTAGATGAACTACAGTGTAACCAGGGATACGTTAACAGTTACTACATAGTATTGTTGTAGCTCCATTCATTGAGAGAAGATCTGGTCCAAAAGCAAATCGAAAATTATCAGTAAGTTTGAATATTTCGTACCTTTACTGTCAAAAGTACTAGTAATTTTCTCTAGCGTTTCAAATCAATTGTGCGTGAAATCGAAGTTCGAAGTTGAATGTCCTTCGAAATTTTACTGATCCAACCGCATCAGCGCTACAAAACGCTATTTTTAGATATACTAGTACCATGCAGGTGGTTTCAGCCACTCGCAAAACGTTGCGTCCGCCTAGCGTCATATTGTGCCTTATTCTCCAACAGGTTAGTCCTTTGCAACACAGTCATGCTACGCTGCTTCGTCGTCGTCGTGGTGCTGCTGGCAGCTACAACTTTGGGGCAAGGCGATAATACCCTTCCAGGGGACATCCCGGACAAATACAACTACCCAATGCCCCCCCCACGCAACGTCTACGGACCTCCCACAACCACACCATCGAGAACCCCGGGGTTTGAATCCGGGGACTTAACAGGATGCAACGACGGGGAGACGTCGGTGGATGTGGAAGGCGCGGAGGGAGGCAGGTTCTGCGTCGACAGTGCATTCCACTGCAGTCGCGAGCTGCCCCAAGGACCATGTCCCCCCCCACAAGACGGCTTGCCGTTTGGGTCGTACTGCACTGTAACGGTGACAGGACTGTTGAAGTGCCAAGCCAAGATCAACGGGCAAGTGGTCGTGCCGTTGACGTACACTCCAGACCTCGTACCGAAATCCGTAGTCGCGGGACCACCCACCACCACCACTTCATCCAAGTCGTTCGAAGACGGACAACTCAACGCATGCGACGATGGCCTCAATCCCATCGTTGTACTAATCGACGGAGCTGCCGAGACATTTTGCATTGATGCGCTGTACGCGTGCAGCAACGCGTTGCCCGATGGTCCGTGCCCCGCGCCGCAATCTGGACTGCCCAATGGCTCGACTTGCACGCAAATCACCCCGCAATCGTTTGGTTGTGTCGAAAGGGTGTAGTCATGATTGCCGTCGCACCAGGTTAGATACCATTGTCATACAAGCCGAAATTGCAACAACAAATTAAATATTCCGAAACATATTGTATTATACCATGTTGCATTTTATATGACAAGGACTATTATTGTTGATCCACGAGGAGGCTGCGGGTAATGATCAACTTTTGGATCCTCAAACGATGGTTCATCCTCACCATACAACACGCTAGAATCAAATTGAGTTCAGCCTGACGAAGAAAGCAGTGGTGCACTACATTTAATTGCCATTTTGAAGGATTGGCATCTTCCTCAATCGATGGTGTGCTGAATTGGTGGACTGCACAGAAAACGGTTGCATAACTTTTAAAAATATGACATTTAAAAGTTAGAAAATGATTACATATCAAAATATGCTACTATTAATAGTATAAATTATAGCTCAAGATGACAATAATTGTTTGTCATCTTTATGCTACTACCGTAGTATATTTGAAAGTTTACGCCAAAATGCGTCTTTAATGTGCTGCTTCGTGGTTCAGAGGTCACCGATCAACGCAAGAACATGGTAGCATGAACAGCACATAGATACTACTAATGAAGTATCATGGACTGATTTATGATGCTTATTGGAGGATATAATCACATCCCAAGTAATGTTAAGCTATATTTCAGTTTTTGGCATGTTTGAGGTCACTTCACACACTCTAAATAAATGCAATCGCCGCACATCACATCTAGTTATATAGCCCGGAACCATGTCTTCCGTTTTCATTTTTAAATGTATCACACCCAGGCATGGATGGTGTTGCTGAGCAATTTAACGACAAAGTCATGTACTTTCTGGACAGTTAACATTGTCATAATTTATGAAAACGTTGATGTTAACTTAACGTTATTGAAACTTGATGCTATACGTATATATTTCGATATAATCATTTAAATTATGACATACTAGTATTTATTTTATACTAGTATGTCATAATTTTATAGCAAATTCACAATACAATACCGTTACGTATTTTTACAGTTGTTAATACTAGTATAAACTAGTTAATACTAGTATAAATAAATACTAGCTAATACTAGTATAAAATAAATACTAGTTAATACTAACGTAAAAAACCAATTTAAGATAACTTAACCAATTTAGGATAACTTTGTATTGCCCAATCACACCTCGTTATTTGTTCGAGTCAAAACCTCTATCATATAATGCTGGCCATTCCGTCACGTGAATGAAATGCAAAAACGGCATAGAAGCCATTGGTAATAGTCATTCAAGATTGGGTTGAAGTTCCCTAGTCGACACGGGCCACATTGGGTTGGATCTGAGGTTTTGTCGAGTGTTAAACTCGGTGGACATCCATCCACAACAGAAATGTAACTCTATAAAACAGTACCCTTGTATAAATTATATTCAACCTGTTGTAGCCGCTTACCCTAAACACAGAATTTCAATGCTCAAACACATACATACTTTAAGATAAAAAAAGTTATCCTAAATTGGTTATCAAAATGTGAGTACAAATGCTTAGAAAGTAACTAATTTACCTGTGAAGTTCATCGCCTAAACTGATGATTCGATTATGAACTTGTCTATTGGAATCACTATTGAAAACTCAAATATCGTAACGGACTCAAAAGTTATGTCCATTCTACTCCGACGCCTCCAAAAAAGTTATCCTAAATTGGTTTTTTACGTTAGTATAAATAAATACTAGTATTAACAACTGTAAAAATACGTAACGGTATTGTATTGTGAATTTGCTATAACCTTCCACAATTCGCCTGGTTATCAGTATTGAATCACGCCGGAGTTCTGATTGGTTGAATATACTTGTCCTTTCTGTAAGAGCCAATCAAATCCACTCAAAATTGGATTAGCCAATAGCGTCGATTCGTGATTCGATTCGGCGGCGAGATTCGATTCGACGGGGTCTGGAAATTCGTATCGAATTAGTAATGGTTATTTTTCCAAAAAGTATCGTAAGTGGCGGCCAACATTTGAAGTCCACACGTATACGTTTTGAACAGTGGAATCGAATACAAAGTCGCCTTGCACCAAAACTAGACTCCTTCGTCTAGACATACGTTCATCCTCGCTTATGTCGCCGAGGATGGCTAAGTTGGTCAACATGGCATAACTTTATTGGTATGGATTAATCCAATAGTTGGAGACGTTAATCAACCCTCCGGATAGGAAGGAAGTAATTTACGGTTACGCGTAGCTCTATCCGGCTAACTGTCTACCAGTAGTGACTGGCTATATTTGCCTTTGACTAGTTCTCATCCGTGGAACATATTCGTTCGGTATGGTGCCAGCTGTGTGCAGTGATCGAGGATGAGGCGGATGAAGTCGCGCCATTTCGTTTTGTCGAGGGCAAGTTGGCGATGTCTCCAACCCTCCGGATAGTGCAAGAGTTTCTATTCATATCCGTACCGGTATCTCCAAATTGAAAAAACGTCTACAGGTTGGAGATGCTAGGACTAACAGCAAGACGATTGGCTCGTCGAAATATCAACAGACGCTTGTGATTGGCTCGTCGAATTGCCCTGGCAGAACTATGCGTCATTATTCTTCCCGAGAAGGCAACCGAATCGTCATGGTGCAAGTCGTGGTAGTTCCCGTCCTGAATGACAACTATTCGTACCTTCTGATCGATGAGGCTTCCAAGACCTGTGCCGCAATTGACCCCGTCGAGCCTGAGAAAGTCCTGCGCGCCGCAGATGAGAACAACGTGACTATCACGCTCGTGCTCACCACACACTCGCACGCTGACCATGATGGCGGCAACCCAAAGATGAAGCAGCTCTTACCGGATGTCGTGGTAGTGGGAGGACGAAACGACAACGTCCGTGGTGTGACCCGCGAAGTCGACGATCAAGAAGTCATCCGCTTCGGTGGATTACAAGTACACATACCTCTACATCACAACCACGTCATTGACACTTCTCATGCAGGTGCGCGTGCTCTCGACTCCGTGCCACACTCCTGGACATGTGTTATACCTATGCGACGACGCTCTCTTCACGGGAGATACGTTGTTCATTGCCGGTTGTGGGCGATTCAACGGTACATCTCACCATTGTTGCATCCTCATCTCAATGTTGTTTTCGATCATTGCAGATGGAACCGCGGCGCAAATGCATTACGCACTCAATCAAGTCATCGCCAACCTGCCCGAACACACCAAGGTGTATTGCGGCCACGAATACACGACCAACAACCTCAAATTTGCCGCCGCGGTCGAGCCCGAGAACCCAGCGATCCAAGCCAAACTCCACTGGTCCCAGTTCACACCGTCCACCATTCCGTCGACCATCGCGTCCGAGCTTGACACGAACCCGTTCATGCGTGTTGATCACCCAGCCGTGCAAAAGTACGCCGGAAGCGCCGACCCCGTCACTGTCATGGCGGTGCTACGCGAAAAAAAGAACTCGTTTGGATTGGGCGCTGGCCCTGCCAAATAGTAAAACCCTTTACAGTATGATGCTCATCATCTAAAAACTTCCAACCGGCCAAATCGAAGAGTGGAGGTTTTATTATTTAACGTACAATTAATGTAGTTAAACCCAAAAACCAAATACGTTAACTACCGATTTCATGCGTTTTGTCACTGCAAGTGGGAGGTTAAAGGTCCAACTGCCTCCGGATATTATATACGGATAAGAGCCACATACAAAAATTAAGATACATCTCAGCGGCCACATATGGCCAAATATCCATGCACCCATGTAAAATACACTAGGTTAAATATCTATATCTGGACCAATTCATCACCAAATTTGAATCTGAGACGTAGAATTTCTTCACCTCTGTCCATTCTACGTCTCAATTTGCTGAAATTTTGAGTACTCCTGAGTAATGAATACGAAATAGAAGTCAGAAAATTTTGTGAAAACTTGGTAGTTTATAGGTGACGTGCATCATATTAAAATACATGTTAACGTTATTAATAGTTACTTCGAAGTACTTTGTTCTGCTGAAGTCCACTGTTCTGTTGGATGCAGTTTTGGGTATAATAATAATAGTATTAATAATATACCGTATATCATGTGCAAGGTTGAAGTTGAACACTGAAACCCCCTATACAGTGTACACCCAAACTACATTCATTCATGATTCGACAACATCGTGATGGGGATGGTAGCCATTCAATAATCGTCAACTAACGTAAAATGCCAATTTATGACCTACAACTTTCATTTGATTTCAAAACATGGGCATATCTCCGTCCTGCTTGATCATTTTCGAATTCTAAATAGTCCTAAAGGTGGTGAACAACCCATAATTAAATTCTTATGCCTTATGATTGGTGCCTTTTCGTACGAAATTGGCACACACGTCATAAATTGGCTACTGGACCAGACGCACCCTATTGGCACTTTACGTTAGGGGAAGGTCCAAGTAGTTTTCAGAAAAAGCATGAGCCAATCAAAATTGATTTACCTCACGATTTAGAAAAAGACGTCAAGGACCTCTTTTTGCTCATAATTATTAGCCAATCAAAAGCTTCTCAATGAAATTTAACCAATCAGATCAATTGTGGATCGGTTTGGTCGGCGCGATTCGATTGCATTCCCCTCCCCAAATTTGTATCAAATCGACAATACTTGGAACCAATTTTTCATTTTGCTAAAAATATCTACTTGGAACAGGCCCTTAACTACATTATTGTTATGAGCCATGTCACAGGAGGACTGGTTGTAGTAAAGTTATTCGAAAACTCAGGTCCTTGCAGTGTAGGACCCGTCAGCCGTTCGCCGCGACGGACGCGCATGCGACGTGGACGACTCGAGGTACTCTGCTTTGGGCACATACGGCCTGTCGCCAGTGTCGACAATGTGGGGCAGTCGAATGGATTCAATCACTTGGGGCGAGTAGTGCACCTACAACACCGTGGCCATTCACGCATCCCCACTCAAATCGAAATGGAGCAGCATCAAACAACATACTGGCGCTGCCCGGCGACTTGGTCGTGGGGGTGCCGCCGTCGCTTTACTGTTAGTCTTGGGTTTAGGCTTGGCCGAGGAGGACGCTGTCGCATCGAGTCCCCCTCCCTACTTATTCCCAATGACAGATGAGAATGCTCAATATATATATTGTGGATTCGGTACAAATTTCCGGTCGAATCAAATCTCTCGTCGTCGAAATCGACTCACGAATCAAAGCTATTGGCTCTTACAGAAAGGCCGAGTGTATTCAACCAATCAGAACTCCAGCGAGATAAACCAAGCATACTTCGGAAGTTTATATCAAATAATATTTGTATATATATATGCATCCGTACATGGAGAAATTGATTGTACTGGACCACCACATCAATGCCACGCTTGGTCTTATATCGCTCGACCAAGTGCGTGTCGAGTGCTTCCTGCCAATTCGACCCATTTTTTGTGTCCGACGGGGTGTTTGAGGTGATGGTGGATGCCTGCTGGGGTGGTTTGGCGGACAACAACACATTGGCTCTGTCGCGTTGGTGGTTGGCTTTGGTTTGAGCGGCCACGAGCTGCTGTTCCACAGCCATCCGTTCCTTTTGATGCATCTTTCTATCGATATGTATTTACGTACCGAGTTCAAGGATAGTGTACGTACTGGAACAATTTCTCATAAAATTTGACCTTTTTCGACAACGTTTCGGTCATTTCTGTCAAAATCTACGCCCGTGGACCAATCAGAACGTCCCATGGTTATACTATTAGATACATACGTCAGTGTTGTTGCGGCTTTCGATTTTCGACCGCTTCAACACTTCGTTTTGCGAAATCATTTTCTCCAACTTGGACGACTGGTAGCTCAATTCAAGCGTGAGCTTTTCGTTCTCCAACACGGCGCGGCGGGTTGTGCCGTCCAAGCTACGCCAACCATCAACCACGACTACCGTCCACGACCACGATACGTACCTATCGAGCATGGCCTTCTCCATGTCACGCCGTGTCCGAGCCACGTCGTCGTCCTTCTCGCGCTTCATGCGCTGCAGATGCATGACGTGGCTCACCTCTACCTCACGCAGCCGCGCGGCGCACGCCGCTTGGATCTGCGTGTTTTCCGCTTGCAGTCGCGCGAGCTCCGCTTCCAAGCTGCCCTTCACCGCCTGGAACGCCTCCATGTCCTTCAGCGTCGCGTCGCTGACGACGCATTTCGACCGCAGCAGGTCTCGCTCCGCCGTGACAATGCCCAGCTGCTCCGTGACGGTGTGCACGGCTCGGTCCATGCGGCCGGTCTCGTCTTCTTCGCGGCTACATGGAGTTAGTCGAAGTTCGATCGTAGAAACAAGGTTATACCGAGCAAGCTTGTCCTGGAGCTCGTCGATGCGCTTGACCTTGTACATGATCACACGCTCTCGGTCCTCGATGTTGGCCTCCATGGACGCCTTCATCTCCTTCATCTTGGCCTTCATCTCGACGTTCTCCGCCTGCAGACGCACCAAGTCCTCCTCGCGTTGCTTCAGGTCAAACTGCACGCGCTGGTCCCGCAACGCCCGCTCCGCCGCCACTCGGAACGATTCTATGCCGTCTGGCATTGCGGCCATGGTACATGTAATGGACTGTAGTGTTGCAACGTTGAGCTACTGTACGTGGCTATTTTTAGAGTGATGCCATGCAGTTCTCCAACAGAACAGGGTGTTCTAACTCAACACTAGACGTGATGACTTCTGGGCTGTGGCTATAGAAGTCTTCAACCTGGAGATGGAGGATGAGCAGAATCACTGAATGCTGCTGGATGAATCTACATAGCCCTACTGTTTGTTTATCTCATGACAAAGGTCGTCAATACTCCGAGTACGTCGTCATAATGGTGACGATGTCGAAAGTTCGACAATAGATACGTCAAGTATAGTGAACCCAGTACAAACATATGGTTCATGTCACAAACATCATATATAAACAGCGTACGACCAACGATTTCGAACTCATGTATACAAATATATAGTTAAATATGCAGGACATGATGCACTTGGTTGTCGTGACCGTCGTGGAATGCGCGAATGTTTGGTCAAAGTACACAGTAGAATTCCAGGGACCATGCACAAGGAAGAAGCCCGCGCATTTGCCGACACATTGTCGGACGAAGATGTAGAGTACCTCAAGCAGGTGGCACGAAAGACTTGTGCACGTGTGGCCAGTGCTTCCCGCATGGACGCTTCCAGCTCCGTGACGTGGGAACCCATCGGACACAAAGACGGGGTCGACATCTATATTGGCGAAGTTAACGAAGGCGACAGCGGGTCGCGCAAGGTCAATACCCCCGGCAGTATGCGCAAGTACCTATGTGGAGTCACCTATGTGCCAGCATCCCTCGACGACATCGTGAACATCTTCCACAGCAAATCTGCCCTCCAAAAGGTCAAGAACAACGGAAGCCAGGTAACGTTAGGCACGTATGATACATCTAATACTCTACGTAGACGACGTTTAATGCATTTGAGCGAGAAATCCTCAACACAAAGACGTTGTACAAGATCCGAAAGCGGACGTCAAACGCGCCGCGGCACTGCATCTCCCTCAAATGGATGCGCTTGGGATCAACCGTCAAGGAAATGGACGACCGCGACTTCGTCTTCTTGGAGGTACTTCGAAATCCCATCGGCATACTTATAGTGAACACCTACTGTAGTTGTGTCATCGTGATGTAATTGTAGTGCCAAGACACGATCTTCGACGAAAAGGTCAAGCGTCGCGGATGGGTCTGCTCCATGCACTCTGTACAACTTCCGGGATGTCCGCCGCTCGATGGATACGTCCGCGGCAGCTTGTATCGCAGCGGTACGAGTCACCATATCGTCGCTTCGTCACCTCTCATGTTGTTGCAGGGTATGTATTTCGGGAAACCGAGACGCCAAATGTACTGCAAGTGGTGTGCATCATGGACATGGACTTCAAAGGTACTACATCTACTACTAGTAGTTACTAAATATACTACTACAATTCCCCGCGCTTTTTTTCATTTTCGAAATTGCCATGGACGGCTCACGACGTTGTTTGGACCAGGCACCATGAACGCCAACCTGTCCAACCTGATGCTCAAGTCGCGCGTGATGATAGCTGGCGCCATCCGCGAACACTTCCAGGCGCTCCAAGAAGAACTGAATCAGCCCCAGGGGGAGGAGTTAGATGCGATGCCGTGCCCGTTGTGTCGTGATTATCTTGCCTCGACTCGGTGCACTACATGCGACGACGTGCGTGTCGATGTCTTCCCAGTGCATGCAATGCTCGCTTATCTAAACGTCTTAACACGTAGGTGGTGTGCATGAACTGCTGCCAGTTGATCGATCCAGAGAATTCCGTATGTACGGTGTGCATTATGAACGGAAAGGTCGACCAACTCAATGCCAACCAAGCAAACGACACGGACTACGACGACACCAGCATTGGCGACGACAGAAGCATCTTGCTGCCGCCGACCGTACCAACGTCCAAGAATGCGAGGAAGCCGTCAGTCGTCCTGGCGCCGCTGCCGGACTTGGATGACGACTCGTCCATGTCCACCGAGGAACAACGGCAGTCCTCAGAAGACAACAATCAAACAGCTCAAGACTATGCGTTGACGCTTCAACCTCCAGGTTTCTTTGCCCAGCTGCTGGCCGCGCCGACTTATAGCCGTCGGCGAGACTTGAGTGATGCCATCAGTTACGTGGAGCCCGATGGCACGGACCCGCTGTATGCCCTCGCCGTGCAGCGACTGCAGGTCGCGGCATCCTCAGAGCAAGAAGCGACTCGATTGGCTATCGTCAACCTCTACTACAAGCATGTTGTGGAATGCTAACAGTGGTCCTCAACTGTGAAGGGGGCCTTTGGGATAATAAGTTTTGCCGCATAAATGCTAGCAATAAACTGTTTTAAGAACATTTAAGGGTTTATGTCGGGCTAGGATGCCACGAAAAATATCATAAAATGGTTGTTTTTCGAAGAAAAGTTGCCAAAATCGAAATATTCCATATTTCGATAGTTTGTGCGTTTGGATGCCACCAAAGTTCAAAAATTTATGCCACAATTTTCGGGGTTTTATGGCATAAAAATATGGACCGATTTGGTCCAACTTTATTATGGGGGTTGGTTTGTGTTCACGTTGAAGTGTTGCACTTCAATCGGAAATCGAATATTTTTTCCAATATTTACCTGGTATCCAGACAACTTTGGAGATACTTCTTTTCTCCATTTTTCATGGGATATGACACTTTGGGAAAATTTTGCAGACTTGCCAAAACGGTTTATGGCATAATTTTATGGGGTGGCTGGCATCTCCTTATTATTAGTAATAATAAGAAGTACGGAGGTGATGCCGTCAGCATCCATCCACCTTTGTGCCACAACTGGGCAATGTCGCTGGCACAGTTGTAGGCTGCTAATCGTGATACCGTATAATAATAACTTTAGTTAGTGTATACCGGTATGTATTGCGACAGGTGATATGTTCTCTAAATTTATTAAATTTATTGCGTCATACAAATTTGACGTATATTAACATATTCACACTTAGATATCAGATATTACAAGAAATCTATCAATTATTACAGGAATCGCAATAGATTAATACACATACACTATTTGGTAGCATTTGGGGAAGATGTGGTGAAGATGGAAGCTACGGCACGGACGGGCGAGCCTTCGGCCGCCATGAAAGACTTTGGCGGGAGCATTGATGTTGATCTGGTGACGCGGCACATGGCCTTGTTGACGGCACCGACGCCGTCGCCGCCGCTCCATGTCGAGGACATTCCAATGTTGGACAGCATCATGGACGACGAGCAGCATGCCCCTGTGGAAACAGAGAAGTACGAGAGAACGTGGCCAGCGGGCAAGATGTTTGGCGACGATGACAAGGACGTCGGCCCCGACCAAACGACTTAGATCAGAGTAGACATCACTGCTGCTCAACAGCCTAGTAGTAGAACGGCGATTAGTAAGCGTCTCGGGCAGGACTACCGGTACGTATGTTGCTACTAACGTTATTAACAGTTAAGTACTTCTTGTCGTTATTCTACTAAAATCCTGGGGACCTTGCATTCACAATAGCAACCCAGGCAGCCAACGGCAAAGCTTCAGTAGCCTTTTCTGTAAGAGCCAATCAAATCCACGCCGTGTCCTCACGGTTCATGTCCTCACCTCGTCAGAGACTTCTCTAAAAACCAACATACGACATTTGGTCTTTGTATTGAAAATGAAGAGTCATCTACCAGTGAAAGGTAATTTTAACCAATAAGACTAATGTCGGATAGAATTGTCTTATTCGCCAAGTTATCCATACATAGCTGCTGGGGAATTTGTCGCGATCGTTCTTGATGAGAACGTCGCCATATGAGTACAAAACTGATGAATACTAATAGTAGTACTAGTTGTAGTGTTTTGGACTTTGATGTACAGGTCAGGTACTGTACTACAGTAGTACTATTAATAGTACTACTTAGTGTACCACATACTTAATACTCGAGTACGTCGTACTGTTGTAGTAATACTATGGCACTAAATTGGCCGTTGTTGATTGTACCAAACAAGACAGTGCAAAAAGCGCTCGCAGACTTTCTACCTTCAATTACCAGATAGGACGGTTTACACGACATTTACAAAATAAATCAATTTTGACCACATTGAATCAACAACTCCACGAAAGCTGAGAATTAAAATGACTTGGTCGTGCTTCGAATGTCCTTATAACATGTATATAATTTGTACATGTCGTGTTTTTTAAATTGGTCGTATCGACGGCGTCCCTCCTCTTGGTTTGACATTTACATGTCACTCGACAAGTGTCTGCATATACACAGCATGGTGTTCGGGTTTGGATCGTCGTCCAAGGACGGCAACGTTAAGCCGCCCCCAACGCCAAAGTGCCCGGAACTTACGATGGAACAAGTACAACAGCTCAAAGCAGTCGCACACATGACATGCACGGACTTGGTGTACGCTTCGCGGCTGCTCCCAAACAGCAAACATGGAGTGCAGTGGACTCCCATGGAATCGCCCAACCCCCGACTTCGGTTCTACTCGGGAACACAGCAGCACAGTCACGTCACGACACATGAAGTACGGTACGTACGTATGTTCCGGCTTAGAATCGTTCGTGACATCCTTAACGTACTCGTCCCGTAGGTTCATGTGCTGCGTCACGACTGTTCATGCTGCCCTAGACGACGTGATCGACGTCCTCAATGGCAGCACTCGTAGTTCCGTACTCGCGAACGACATCAAGTCCAACTTGAACGGGGACATCCTTGCCAAGGCCTCGCTCAAGACATTCAAGTACCTCGATCGACTGAAGATTCGCCTGCGGTGGATGGTGCTAAAGTCAGCATCCCCTTACATTCCCATGCGTGACTTCGTCTTCCTCGAGTGTCAGAACAGCATCCGCGTCGCAGGCCATGCAGGTTGGGCATGCAACATGCACTCCGTCGCTCTGCCGGGCTTTGCCACGTTTGACGAGTCCCACAATGTCATTCGAGGGAGCTTTTACCGCACAGGGTACGTCGTCCTCGTCCTTGCGTGATCTTTTGAAAGCTTTCAATTGTTGATTTATACTTTTATAGCTTTTATTTTTTATAGGTATTCTAAAAATGTGATATATTTCGTGTATTCGTAGGTATGTGGTGACCGAGACAGACATCCCTGGCCAACTTCGGCTCGTGCACATGATGCAAGCAGACTTCAAGGGCACCAGCATGCCGGTGCACGTGTCTGACATGATGATGCAGCGCCGCGTGGCCAATATTGCATTCCTCCCAGCATACTTTCGCAAGCTCGTGTTGATCGATCGCATTGTGGCGGCGGCGGCCGACGAAAAGATCCCCCGACCAAACCAAGCCAGCGCCGCCAAACACTGCACGCAGTGTCGCAAGAAGTTTCCCCTCCTCGGCAAAAAACTGGCCTGTCGTCTCTGTGGCGAGGTAAAGTCGATGGTTCTCCCTCGGAATACGGACATATATATTGTCCTTTTTACCCAAAATATGGACTTTTGTGCGGATTCTTTGCCAAATCTATCATCCATGGATTCTTTATACTGACTTTTGTACGTCATAATGGTGCAGTTTTTCACACACCAATTCGATGTTGAATTGGTCGAATGTGAGTGGAGAATTTGATTGGCTACTTTATGAGTGTTCTGGGTTTTGATTGGTCGATATATCGATTTGGTGATTCTGCTCATTCGATTGAGCACCTCACTCCGATTTCGAATCGACTTGACAATACATGCAGGTTGCGTGCGCCACGTGTTCCCACAGTCTGCATGTTGAGCTCCATATACGTGGGTACAATGGCATTCGCGTGTGTGCCCTGTGCGACGCCGGCGACGACGACGACGACGACCCCAATGACCTCATGCGCTCGATCCTCACGGAAGGTACGTACCTAATGATTGCATTCGGTAGTACCTAATTCAGTTTGGTTTTTTTATCAGTGTTGATGCATGTGCCTGGTACCGAATACTCGAGCCCGTCGATCCCACCACGAGATGGTCGTGCCCTGGCTACCCTTCCTCGCGACTCGGACATTCTAGGCGACCCGAACGTAGACTCGCTTGTCTTCAGCGCGAGGCAGCCACAGCCATCCATATACTATGGCAGCACTTGCACGATTCCTGAAGACATCGAAGACGAGGAGCCGCCGCTCTCGTTGCGGGAACCAAGCCGAGGTCCGTCGGCCAAGGACTTGCGCAACATGTCGATTGCGTCCAGAGGCAGCCAAGTGCGAGGCCCCCGGGGCTTGGATTGGTTGGACCCGCTCGACTCATTTCGGAGTTCCGTGGCGAGCGGCATCCATTTTAGCCTGTACTCTGGTGCTCGGTCCACCAACGACCTTCTCCGTGACTCGAGTGACACCCACGAATTGTAATATGTACTTACGTTATGAGGCAGTAATACTGTATCAGTAGCCAATCAAATCCAATTCAACGTCAAATTCGTAATTAGTGTGACACTGCACGATTTTTACATATAAAAGTCAGTCTTACAAAGAATGGATCGATAGATGTGGGCGAATCGGCACAAAAGTCAGCCAAATGTTGGGTAAAAGGACACTAATATTGTGATAGTCGCTATAAACTTTTAAAATTCGCGTGGTTGGTCTAATCAATAGATTGAATCACGCTGGAGTTCTGATTGACCGACTATACTTGTCCGTCGTGTAAGGGCCAATGAAATCCACTCAAAATTGGATGAGCCAATAGCGTCGATTCGTGATTCGATTCGACGAGGTCTGGAAACTTGTACTACTAGTAGTACTACCGAATCCACAATACTGTATCGTGTGTTGTTTGGTGTGTACTATATAGTATTGTGGATTCGGTAGTACAAATTTCCAGACCCGGGAAAAACGGGACTCGAACCCGCGACGTCGAATCGAATCACGAATCGACGCTATTGGCTCATCCAATTTTGGGAGTGGATTTCATTGGCTCTTAAGAAAACACAAGGATAGTCAGCCAATCAGAATGTCGAGCGTGATTCACTCTACTTCCTCTGTTCCACGCTACAACCGACCGACACATTCCAGTAACCCCAAAATTTCATTTTACGGCCAAAATCAATGAGCCCAATCATGTTCGAAAGAGAATCGAAAATGAGAGGGGGTCTACCTTGAAGAAAACCAATTTTTGGCGCCCAAATATGATTTCGCCATCGGACATCCGCAAAAAGTTACAAAATAATTATTTTACAGTTTAAAATTGAGGGGCCTGCACTACGTATTGAATTGATTAGACAAACCACGCGAATTTCGGAAATATAGCGAAATGATGGCTAACGAGGCAAGAACGCGTTGAGCCAGCGCAGGCCCACAGGGGTGGCAAAGGCGGCAATGTGTCGCAAAGATGAGAGCCGCTGGACCATGACCTTGTCGCATACAGCTGGGGCCATGGATGGAGGGAACGTCATGTGGAGGACGTAGACGATGTCGACGACGCCGGGGAGTAAGAGGGATTCCACGGCCACAATGCCAGAGTTGCGTACATTCGCTCGCGGGAGGACGGATTCAGAAGCAGTCGTGTGGATGGCGGACGGGATCGAGTGCACGGCACAAAGAAACCCGTGTCGATTGTCGCTGCATATCATGGCCTCTTGACACTAGCCCACACACACACACATGTGTCATCATAGCACCACGAATTACATGTAGTAGCAGTACTGGTGATGATGCGTATGTGTGCCCACCCACCTCAACGAAAACGACGTCGCAGGCTACGTGGGCATGCATGAGTGTGTCGTGCTGCACGACCACGCGCTTGGCTCGCGTCTGGCAGATGGTCGCCACGGTCGTGCGCGTCACCACGTCTCGATGAAAAGCGTGGTTGAACTTTGGGTTGGCGCCTTGCAGAAGGCCCGTGACCGTTGCCAACGACGCCACCACGGACACCTTGGAGTACATTGACCGCTCCACGACGTTGCGGGCTCGTTGTTTGGGACACGACGTGGCTTGATATAGGTCCATGTGACGGCGTCGTGACGTTGTCGGAACCCACTTGGACCGAGCTGAGAGGTCCACGACGCAGTGGGTTTTAGCCAGCCCAAGCAGCAGGTCGTGACACGGCAACAACATGCGGAAGCACGCCCAGTACAGTGTCCTGATTGACTGACACCCGTCTGTCTACCAGCCGTCCGCGGCGGTCGAACAATCCAAGTGGCCGACGGGAGAGAGAAAATGGGGGGGGATGTTGCATCTGGGGAGAAATCGTTGAAGCTATTGACAAGAATCGGACCATCATACTGTACGGTACAGAACTACCGTATGACAAGTGATGTGTTCTGATACTGTAGTGCAATGCAATTATTATTGTACGAAAACTCATAGTTAACTACTCCTCATCGGCACGACCAGGTCATGATATCGTGCAGGGTCGTTTCAATCGTCGCGGCAACCCAAGCTTTCAAATACATGCATCAATAACGTAAATTAATATCCCTGAAGAGTGTTTCAGAATTGGCAATCGTCAACATCAAGTGAAGTCTTGGAGCAACTGTACGTACATACAGTAGGTGTGGTGTGTGAAGTACAGTTAGGCGATAGCTTGCAAACTGACTGCAAACTTGCCATCGGTTCTCTATTCGAATTCATCTACAGAAGTAACATAGATGGTCAATTTATGCCAAGTTACTCCCGATGGTCGTAGAATGCTAGAATACGGCTTTCTCGTCTTTCAGGACCGGGATTTCAATTCTGAAAAGTGCTGCGTGAAGCCGAATGGTTGAGCATTCTTCTAATGACTATTTCATCGGCTTGAATAGACTTCATTTCCACTCAAGTCAAGGCAAAATAGGAGGGACGGTTTATGGTGTACTGGAGGCTGCGGTTTATGGTGTGCTGGAGGCTGCGGGAAATGATCAACTTTACAATCCTCAAAGGATATGGCAGTACGTTGTTCATCATCACCATACAACCCGCTAGAATCAAATCGAGTTCAGCCTGACGAAGAAAGCAACGTACACAGCTTTTAATTGCCATTTTGAAGGATTGGCATCGTCCTCAATCAGATTGTGCTGAGTTGCTAGAGACTCCAAACAAAACGGTTGCATAACCTTTAAAAATATGACATTTAAATGTTAGAAAATTATAACATATACCTGGCAACCGACAATTGGAGGGGTCATCGGTTGGTGTTCCCGACAATTGTAGTGTCATGATTGGCTGAACGACAAGATAATTTCATTTCGTTTAGTGATTGGACGATTCACTTGTCGTGAGAGGACATTTACCCAACATGTAACATGTACGGCCTCTGATAGGTTGAAAGGCACTGCTATAAATAAAAGGCGACGTTTCATGATTTACCGAACAAATTCTTCATTCAGCATCATGAACGCAACCACCGTGCCATCCAAAGCCACCATTCAAGGGTCGTTCCGGGCTGCGTCTACGACACGGACGTACCTAACCTACCAAAAGCAGCTCTTCCTGTTTTGCCAGGAAGTTCTGGCTGTTGATCCTGTGTCCGCAGGGCCAAGTGCTTGCACGGACTTCTTCCACCATCTATACGGTCAGGGCAAGACAGCTCGCACCGTTGACTCTGCCAAAACTGCTCTTGTCGCATACTTTCGAGACCTCAAGGTCGACCCCAACCCTGCCCGAGACGTCGAATCAAAGCAGTACGTTGTTGGACTGCAAAAGTACAACAAGAAAAACAACATCGACGACGAAAAAAAGGCGCACCCCCTCTCTGTGCACGAGCTATCGTGCCTGGTCAACTCACTTTCGACAAGCCACCTCATTGTGGGTGTCATGTACCGGTTCTTCCTGAGTGCGAGCTACTTGGGCTGCTTCAGGATCAGCGAAATGCTCAACTTGACGTGGGATGATGTTGCCATGAAGCACGACGGCGACTCCCAGTAAGTATCACTTCGGCTCCGGTGGCACAAAAAGGCCAGTGTGCAAAGCGATTGCCAGATTTACCACCTTGTGGACGAGAAGTCCTTTCCTTGCCTGCGCGTGTGCGGTTTGTTTGGTGACTACGTGGATTTCGTAAAGCGGGCGAGTCCCAATTTGGCCACAAAGTCGTTCGTATTTCA